TCAAAAAGATACCTGCACACGCATGTTTATCGCAGCGTTGTTCACAATAGCAAGAACCTGCAAACAGCCATGCTGCCCGTCAAAAGAGGACTGGATTTAAAAAATGTGGTACATATACACAATGGAATACTACACAGCCATAAAAAAGAACAAAATCATGAATTTCGCAGCAACCTGGATGGAACTAGAGTCTATAATACTGAGTGATCTCTCACAGAAACAAAGATCCAAGTATCACATGTTCTCACTCATATAATGGACCTTAAACATCCAATGCAATAGTATACGAAAATGACTGACCGTACTGGGAAACTATGGTGGGGGGAGGGAGATGGTATTAACAGTAGCAAATATCTGTCTGGGAACGGGGAAACACCCCATATCAACAGGGTGCCTGAATGAAGCGCAATTGTATACCTAACCCTTAACTGTACCCCACAACTTCATAATAAAAAAAAAAAAAAGAACTGCATTTATATTAATTTAGGGAATAATACTTCATATCAGTAACTGACCATATCAAATACTTAATAAACAATCTTGTAATTTTATAACTCTAGGTGCCTCCTAAAAAGGGTTGCACCCAAAAGTTTAGAAAATCAAAATCCATCTGCTGTGTGCTTCAATATTTTTGAAAATACAAATGTAAAGATAACACTGAGCAGGACAATGAATTTTACTATAAAATTTAAGGAGTAAGCCAGGCTCGGTGGCTCAGCCTGTAATCCCGTGCCCTGGGAGGCCGAGGTGAGTGGATTGCCTGAGCCTGCGGGTTCGAGACCTGCCTGGGCAACTTGGCGAGACCTCATCTCTACAATAAATCAAAAATTAGCTGGGCGTGGTAGCGCACGCCTGTAGTTCCAGCTACTCGGAAGGCTGAGGCGGAAGGATCGCCAGAGCCCAGCAAGTCGAGGCTGCGGTGGCCAGGAGCAGCCACTGCACTCCAGGCTGGGCAACAGAGTGAGACTCCAACTCAAAAAAATAAATAAAATAAATAAATAAAATTTAAGGAGTAAAGTTGATATCAGGTGGTAAATAGCAGTGGTAAGAAAAGGAGAGGGAAAAGAGACCTGATGAGATGCTAGAAAGACACATGTGCAGCATGTATCATATTCCCTGTTCCTCTAACCTTCAGCCAGACCTACTAAATATAACAACCTGACACATGTAAAGTTCTTATGGATATTACATGCTTGTTGGATACAGAAGCAAGAACCATAGATCACATAAACCCAATCTTCTGATAACTAACAGAAATTCATGGAATTGGAGTCATAACCTGAGTTTTACTGACACTTTAAGAGACAAGGGCCCCAGAGAGCAGTTGAGCTTTTTGTGAGGGAAATTTTTTTATTTCAGAGTATTAAAACATTAGGCCAATGTTATATTACTATTAGTATATTAAATGCATAGTATGAATTTATTTACTAGTTTACTAAGAGAATAGTTAATATCTACAAAAATATGATAAAAGAAAAACATCTAAATTTATTAAAAGCACATGTGTATTATACACTACTCCATTTCAACCAAAGTAAGAGGAATTTAACAATGCAAATTCAAGAAAATATTACTAAATTAGATCTTAAGAGTTATAAGTCATGCTCTAGTCCACATCTCTGGGGTATCCCAACTGCTTTTTCTTGCCAGATATGCAAAACTTTATTCATATGTTTTGGAAAATTACCTGCAATTTATAGATAGTTAACTGAGACTTGTAAGTATTTATAGATAGTTATACAGGGGCTATATGTATAGATTGCTATAGAGAAGTCTTAGATTTTGAAGTAAAAATTGAATTTTCAAATTGACAAATTCAAGCGGCATATCTATTTTGTATAGGGTGGGTTAATAGAGCATAATTTCCCACATACTTTATCTAGCAAATTAAAAACAGCCATTCTAACATTCATCTCCCAAACATTTTACTTATTATGAGAAACAATTGGTTCACACATATAAACTTACTTAGAATAATACCTGGCACTTATTAGGCACTCAATAAAGTTGGGCTATTAGTAGGAGTAGAAATAACAGTGTTATTAGTAGTAGTAGCAGTAGTCCTAACAAATGAGGATTAATATAATTATAAGCTGATATACATGATGTCTCTTTCCCACTTCGATTCAGTTAAATGAAAGCAGGCACTGGCAAGTGATAAGTAGCTCAGCAGTAAATAAAACTACAGACCTGACTGTGGAATGATGTGTATCTCCAAAATTTCTTTCATATTCTAAGGACTATAATTCTGTATGCAATAACTTTTTGGGTCAGAAGTTTTATGAAATTCTACTTTACAAATACAGAGAATAAAACAATTCTAAACTTTATTATCATCAGCTATATCATAATTTCTCATAGCTTTAAATAGGAAAATAAGCCAAATATAATTATAGTCCAATAAATGTATTAATTATATTTATATTAATTATAAAATTATATTTAAACACAATTGTATGTGTGATTATAACTAATATTAAACACTTCTAGTCATCATCAGGTTGTTTTCTATGACTCTTTTAAAACAAAAATAATTAATTAGAATTGCAGGTTTATAAGGTGCCAAAAATAACAATGTGAGTTCCCTCTATTCACTAAACACAGATAAGTAATGAGTGTCCACATCAATGTGAAAAATTATCATTTTATTAATAAAATGATACTGGATATTAGATAGTACCTGTTTTGTTCAATCAAAATTTTTAAAGTCCTTGGATTTGTCAAAACAACATCTGCATCCACACTAAAATAATAAGCACACTTTTCATCCTGACGGCAAAAATCCCTGATTGAAAAAGAAAATGGAATTAGATAAAATAGATACCAGTTGATTAAAAAACCATTGTGTAAAGCTTTTTTTTTTTTTTTTTTTGTAAGCAGCATTTATTGAGAGGACAGAAAAGCTCCCACAGTGGGAAGGGACCCGAAGGGGTTGCCCTAAAGCTTCTTATATTTAAAATGTTTCTTTAATATACTTTTCTAATCAAAATAGTAAGACAATATCCAAAATGATAAATATTGTCTTGAATTTCAAAATAGTCAACTTATCATCACAGATATATTCACAGGTAAAAACAACACTCAAATTTTAGGACAGATAAAATATAGTTTAAAGTCACAAAACATTCAGTCAGAATGGCAATTTCCAATTTAAAATCTAATCCTCTCTGAAAAGGAGAAATAATCCTCCTCAGCTCATAGTTTCATAGTTTAATTCATAGTGTAATTAAATGTTGACTCCTAGCCATTATGAGAAAAATGTAAGTTACTTCCTTGGCGCTTCACGTGTAAATAAATACACACAAACACACAGTTTAGCACCAAGAGGAGAGCAGTTAAGCAGGAATAGATGAGACACCCAAGTTTACCATACTATTTTTTTAAGGTTTATTTTTTTCTTAAAGTTTCATTAGTAAAATAATTTAATTAATTTAATTTAAACTTATTAAGACATACATTCCCATGTTTCTGGCTTCCGCTTGACTTAGACTTTCTTCTGGTCCTACAATTTTTATAGTATTGATTTCATGTTTAGCTTTATCAAAAAATACTTTGATGTCCTTCTCATGATAAACTTCCTGTAACATTTTAAGAATCAAAAATTAGAGAGAAAAGAAGACAATAAGATAACCAAAGTATTCATACGTAGAGAATGCTTCACAAAGTTGTGAATCCCTCAATTTACCTATTCACTCAATTACAGACAAAATAATAACCACATTAAACAAATTATATTTAAATATCACTTAAATGGCACATGAAGAATCTAAAATACATACATATAAATATTGTTAAAAGAAAAGATACTTCAAAATTCTTTTAACATCTACAGCTAGACAGGTATTTGAATAAATATTTAAATCTTCCACAAGATCTTGCAGAAATACTTAAATCCTGAGTACTATGAAATGTTTATAACTGGAGGGGGGAAAAAATGGCCAGAGACTTAGACATGTGTCCTAAAATATCCTGAAAAAAAAATGTTTATTAGACCTAAAAGATATTAATCTGAGTTGGAAATACAAATAATCCCATTTTACAAAATAAAATGTTACAATATCCTCTGAAGCCAGAAAGAAAAATTAATAACATAAAAAATTTTGTTTTTAGAAAAAAAGGGGAAAATTTTACAAAATTTTGACAGATTAATGGGAACATAAAAATTATCAATTTAGTGTGATTCAAATGTGCTAAAATTCAGGTAAGATTATCTGTTTCCATCATTATAATAGCATTTAGGAGTTTTTTATGTTTCAAGTATCTAAGTCTCCTGAAAAGCTGATGCCCTTCAAACCTTGTTAAAATTACTTACCATATAAAAGTTTTACAAAGTTAATCTTAAAAGAAAAGAAGATAAAAAACTCTTCCCATCAACAAGTTTAAGGTCCCATGAAAGCAGGAAAAATACCAATAAAAGGCCCAACACACACAAAAAAATACTCTGGTGTAAGTATATATACTATAACACATTTACAAAGCAAATGCTCAATGTTGAGCCCTTTTAAAACCTCTTTAAGCTGGTTTTCTGCAAACTCAAAATATTCTTTGGAAAAGGTGAATCATTAACTGACATGTACATTATGAAAAAAAGAACAAAGGTAAACAAAAGTACCAGGACAGAAGAGAGAAAACACAATACTTTACAGCTAGTTAGTTTTTTAAGATGATGTTAAATACCAACTGTCTTAACAGGAAAGAGATAAAGAAATGGGAAATACTGAGGAAAAACGTCTTTAAGTTTAGATTACATGTGAGAGGTATGTGGGAGGCTCTAAATATTTTTGTTTGTTTGTTTGAATTGGAGTTTGACTCTGCTGCCCAGGCTAGAGTGCAGTGGCACATTCATGGCCACCGCAGCCTCGAACTGCTGGACTTAGGTGATCCTTCCAAGTAGCTGGAACTACAGGCGCGAGCCACCACATCTGGCTATTTTTTTTTATTTACTATAGAGACGAGGTCTCACTATGTTGCCCAGGCTGGTTTTGAACCCCTGGACTCAGTTCATCCTCTCACCTCGGCCTCCCAAAGTGCTAGGATTATAGGCTTGAGCTACCACACCCGACCAATATATATATATATTTTTTATGACAGTATCAAAATCCTTTGGGGGCAATATGCCAATGTGTGATTAATTAAAACAATACTCTTTCTGGAAGCTGTTTCAAGTTCTGATGCTATGGCATTATCGTAAATTACAAGCAAATTAATACCAGTTCTTTAAAAGAAAGTACAAGAACTAACCAAAGGCAAAGGGGTATGTCCTTTGATGTCTCCTTCATTATATATTAAGTGTGCCATATGAAAATGTCTACTATTCAGTCATTTTTAAGCTACAAAAATTGGCAGTTTTGTGTGGTTCATCCCATTATTATAGTGTTAGTTTCTAGATTCTAAAATACTTAGACCCTAAAAAGGCAGGGCTGTAATTACTCCAAAATTCTTCCACTGAATTTAGCCCAATGAATATTTTTAGACGTAAATAACAAATAGCTTCAAAAAAAGACCAAAATCAGTTTTCATGTGAAATATTCATTTCTCAAATACTTACTTTGTTATGAATAAAAACTTTAAGTGCTTCTTTGGGGTAATCCAGAGTCAGCAATGTGTCCAGAAAACGAGGCAGGAAAGGGGTTGGTTGCTCAATAAAAACACTTATTGTTACATTTGGATAGACCTTTGTTTGATACAAAACATAAAAACAACTTATCATTAGTGTGGTTTTATTTTAAATTCTATTCAAACGTTAATCACTATAACATAGAAGGAACTAGAATCTCACTTCAACATAATCTGCTAAATCTGAATAGCCTTATGGCAGTTCTCTAACCCTTAAAATAAAATTTTGAGGACCCCATCAAAGTGATTTTACATCTTGGTTATAAGTTAGGTTTAAGGAGGAAGCAATCATGTTTATTATATGAATGTAATTAAGGATACTGCTTACTCTACCAGTCAATGCTTCTTTTATGAGAGCCCTTAAGAAATTTCCTCAGATCTGAAAGCTTCATCTGAGAAACAAAAATGCTAATTATGTTCCCTTTCTGTTTCTGTGGTTTAGAGTTCAGTGCTTAATTTATTAAGTTTGTTATCCCAGATAAAGCAATAATAGAGGTCTTAAGACTTGATTTCTATCTTTCAATATTCCCTTTAATCTCATTTTATTGACAGTCTTTTACTTTCCTTTATTATTATACTATGTATATATAAGGAAAGCTTTTTCTTTCATTAATATAATTTATCTTAATGTACTATCTATTTTTATATATTTTCTTAAATCCTCTTTTGGTATGTTTTAGTGTGTAGTTTATCTTTCATTCACTGAATAAAAACTACTGAAATATACATTATATATGACAGTCCTTGTGATGGGCAACATTAAGCAAAAGAAATGAAAACTCCTGACTTGGAAAACTTTCAACTGGATGGGAAGACAGAAACATAAATAACTACTATGTAGCAGTGTTATTACCAGAACTATATGGGAGACTCTTTTCAATGGCTTGTTAAAAGCATGTCTTAAAGCATGAACTTAAGCATTATAGATTTTTAAAAATGCCTTACATGTTAGGTGCTGAATGAAGTAACTCTTCCCATCTTTTCCACATGGTTCCTCATACTTTCCTCCATTATCTGAACTGTAACTTAATATTTGCCTGCATAAAAATATACCTTGAACACTATCATCCTTCTTTAATCTGTCAATTAATTCACTCACCCAAATATTTATATATTAAACTTATACATATAAAATGTCCTATTATATATTTATCATATATACGTACAAAATTTTATTTAACCCTCCTTCCAACTCTCTGAGATGATCACTATTATTTTTAAATATGAAAAAACTTGCCTATGGCCCACACAGTTTAAGAATTAAGTGAAGTACACCTATATGCAGAAAAAAAATTTAATACAAATATTTTTCTATCTTTGCACCAGAAAGTTTATATAAAAGGAAACAAAACAGATAAAAAGAATTAACTCCTCCTCCAGAGGACACTACACTACTTTCAGAGAAAAAAAAAAAGTCAGGATGGATTTTTAAACATCTTCATAATGCAGTTGCTTCATTTAGAAATATTCAGACTTTCCAAATAGGAAACATTCAGTTTGTTATCTGAGAGACTTGCCAAAAAACTTATCTTCAAGTAAACTAGGGCTCTATTCATAAGCTTCAAAATATACACAAGTTACTCTTTATCCTCCTTTCAGACAGGAAGGAGAATAGAAACTATTTAATTCAGAAACTTGAGCATATTACAGTGTAAAGTTTTGTATTTGCATGGGTTCAGGGGTTACCAGAGCTATATTCCCGGGAGTTTTATTTTTGCCTGCATTGCTTCCATCTATCTAGCACCTGCAGATACTTAATAAACCTACAGTGAATGAAGGAAAGAATCAGTCTTAATGACAAAATAACTCCTTAGAATCTAATTGTTCATACACATAAAAATTCTTCCAAGTTACTACAGCAATTTTTTGGAAGAAAAATGTTACTACAGAATATCCTAAAACTTCTCTGTCTGACGATAGAACAGGATCTATATAAATTTATAGATTAATTTGTTTAACCTCAAAGTATAAATAATAAAATAGAATTATAATTCTCTAAGAAAAACACAAGTAGCCTGGCCTATGGTATGTATATGACATGCCGGTAAAATTTCACACTGGTCAGGAACACAGGGTCTGCAGTCAGATTACCTAAATCTAATCTCTACTCTAACACTTAAAAATCATGTGCCCTCAAGTATATTACTTACCTTTACATACCTCAGTTTTTTCACCTGTAAAACTGAGTCATTAGCACTACCTACTTTAAGGGTTTGTGTTGTTTAAACAAGTTATTGTATTTAAAGTAGTTGGAATAGTCCAGAGTTATATAATTGTATATTATTTTTTAAAGTCATAAAATTTGAAAATCAAGCACAAATAACATGTCAATAAAAATGCCGAAGCCTCTCTCTCTCTCTCTCTCTCTCTCTCTCTCTCTCTAGCTATTTGCCATTGCTTTGCTAAGTTATGATCTGACCATATGGCTCCCTAAGTTATGGCCGCCATGTTTCCTAGCTTTGACTCCCTTCCCTACCTTGGGGACTCACTCACTCACTCACTCTCTCTCTCACTCTCTCTCTCTCTCTTTCATTCTGTCTTTCTCTCTCTCCCTCTCTCTCTCTCTGTCTCCATTTGCCATTGTTTCGTTAAGTACTGGCCAGGTCATGTGCTCTTTGAGCTACAGTCACTGTCATGTTTCCTAAGCGTTGGCCCCTTCCCCTACCTTGGGGAGGTGAATCTCCTCTCTTTCTACTTTCTAAATTAAAAAAAAAAAAAAGCTAAAGCATTGTAATAATTTTTTTTTCTCAATGCTGTGCCCAAGCTAACAGAATAAGATAACACAGGAGGATCCAATCACAGAAAGTTATTAAATATTAACCCCAGGCCTCTTTCATTGGGTTCAATTATTAGCAGGCTTTGCTTTCAAAAAAAGTTCAGAACACAAATCTAGTAATTCTCTGAAGCACTATGTTTTAAAATTATGAATCTATTGCTTACCATACAATCAAAACTATAAAACTTATTTGTCCTTTTTTTACTATAAACCACAGCATTTCATGTCTATGCACTTTCTAGTCAATTCTACTTACATCTACTGAAGTCAAGTCAATTGTATCAAATTGACAAAGAGTGCAGCCATTATCCTGTGTCCACGAATTAGGCACATAGTTTCCAAAGTAATTCAGGAGAATCTAGTAAATGAAGGAAAACGATATTAACAAAAATAGGGCCTTTCCCATCAGTATGCTTTCATTCTAATCATTTAACTTCAAAGCATTTTTTTTTTTTGCATTCAGTCATTCCTTTAGTAATTCTATTAATATCATCTAGAGATGCATACTTAACAGGTTTCTCCAGACTATGAATTGTAAAGCAGGACAAAGTATGTCTTAAAATACCAAAAAAAGTGTCATAAATCATAAAAGTCATTTTATTTCATACCATATAAGGAATAATATAAGAAAAGACCATTAAAAAGAAATATAAATCAAACAATAAAAGTTTTAAATGGGTCAGAGAGACTTATTGGAAAAAATACAAATAAGAGTCATATGAATGCATTATAATAATAAGATAAATGTGTTTAAAGGCTCAACACAGACACCTTCAGTACATGGGGCAGTGGTAGTGTGACCTCTTACCAACATATCACCACACAAAAGAGATATTGAGTAAATTTTATCACCAAAAGGCACTAAGCTCTTCCTGGAAACTATGCTACTATAAACTAGGCTTCTGGGAAGTGATTTAAGGGCGCTGATTCAGGAAAAGATTGTGGGGGGCAGATGCAGGACAGAGGTAATAATTACATTAAGATTTGCTCTGCACTCTCAAAAGACTATTGAATATCTTTAGAGTTTGAACAATTTAGGAAAAAATTCCTGCTGATAAATAATTAATAAATATAATTACTACACACTCCACAATTTTAATGCCTAGTAAGAGCATTTGCAGTTTTTAAAAATTCTTTCATTCTACAAACTATATTTTTGCCTATACTATTAAAAGGAAACACCTAACATTCTCATTGTGCTTATATAATTAATAATTTTTCATTGAAAAGATGAAATCAAAAGAAAAAGCATCTATGTGTAACATATAAGGGTCAAAAAATGTATACAAGAGCCAACTAGATTTTTTTTAGCTTTCTAAGGTCCTAAAGGAGATGTTCAAGTGTAGGATACACGATATGGTCTAGTAACATTTTACCAGATTCCTCCCAAATGTTTGGGATTTTGTTAAAATAGTCTCATGGTATTGAAACTTTTAAACAATGCTGCTGAAACAAGAACTTTAATTAAAATGGTAAAATCTCTGTGTTATACAACTATACTTAACCTCTACAGCAAAAATACAGGACATGGACAAGTAACTCATTCACATTTCTTTTGGATTACACGATAATTCAGGAAACAAATTACAAGGCAGGAAATATGTAGCCATGATATTCATTAATGGCATTTCAAGAGTCAATGTGGTCATTTTAAAGCGTCTTGATAATAAAAACAGAAATTAAAATGTACTGTTAATTATCAAGGGACAAATGCAAACATTAATCACTCATGTTTCTACATGTTATTGTTTTGAAGGAAAAGGGATTTATATGAAAATGGATCCCATGTTAAGCATTATTTTTGAAAGAGACAATGAATATGCAAGTGAGAAATGCAGTTTTTTAAAAAAATATCCTGGGAAATAATTTTTTTTTAAAGGAAGAAAAAAATCTTCTAAATATTTGACCATAACTAAATCCACCATCACATATAAAGATTAGTACTTTTCCTATCTTAGAAATCTCATTGAAAATTTATGATTTATTTCATGAATTATTGATCAATCTACTAGAGTCTGATATGAATTTGAAAATGATCAATAGTTTCAAAAAGAGCATAAAATGCCATTACTTTCAGTTTTCAGTAAAACTTCATTTTGTGCTTTCTACCTTGATTTGTTTCATAATTAAGATATGATATTAAGATATTTTAGAAACATTACTTTTGACTGGAACGTCCCTGTTTTTGTATTTGTCAACACTCAAAACAGAGGTTATTCAACTGCCATCCCCATTTACATCTGTTTTTGTCATAAAACTGCAGACTTTTCTGCTGGCAACTCTGGAAGGTGCAAGAGACTATTTGCGTAGTTAGGCTGGTCTGGGCACCCCTCAGCTACTAGGTGGTAGTATTTTCCTGATTCTTCTTTCACAATATCAAGCTGCTTCCAAGTATGATGTCATTTGCATTGGCAGAGAAACTTTTCCAACCAAATCCCTTTCTTCTTTCTTTCTTATAAAAATGTATCCAATTATGTAAGGTCACAATGATTCCAGCATTGTGACTTCTATGCACAAAAGTAAGGTCCTTATTTTTATTGCAAACCAAATTAGTTTCTGAAATGATATATTTTTGTGTGCAGATCAAATAATTTGACCTTCCCCTGTTTATCTCTGTATAAAAATACTATCAAATTAATAATGATTACCTTAAGATACATACTCTGATATTTAAAGGCAAAGGCTGGGCACTAAAATAAGCATCTTATGATGAATTACTAACTATAAATGAGCTCAAAGAATAAAAAGTAAAGTTTCAAGCCAGAAATCATAGTCTATATCTAAATATTGATTTATATTACCTGTAAAAGTATAAAATTATTTCAAATAAATACAAACATGTTTCAAACAAAATATTAAGAAACAAAATTGTTTATATACCATTATGAAAACAAAACATAAGTATGAATGTGTGTGGATGTATCCTGAAAAGACATAAAAACTGAAAGAAATTATGAATAAAAACCATGTGAGAGGGCTTTTTGAAGTTACTTATAATTATAAAATTTTTCTTTTTAATAGCATGAGATTTAAAGAATGTAACTAAGAAAAAACTCACTTTTATATAGTTTAATCTTACCAACACACTATAATTTGTCACTAATGGATTATGTATATATTTTTTAAATTTAAAAATTGCTTAAATATCATTTAGTTCAATATTGTGGCTCAAACCCACTGACATTACAAGCATCCCTTCCTAAACAAAACAATAAATAAAACTAACTTATAAAAATTCATATAAAAATGCTCTCACCTTTTATAAAGGTTAAAAAAAAGTTTGTAGTAATCAGCTGTCTTTCCCCATCAGCCTGGACAAGGGAAATATGTGACATGATACTTATGTGCATCTGTTCACCTTTAATATAATATTATGAATTAAAGTATTAGCATTAGCTAAATACTTATATATACAATTTTTCTCAAGGTTTTGTAGTACACATAATTTTTATAATTAAATTTACTTCTTTTTTTAACAGAATCATAAGAAAATGAACTAAATAGGATCATGTCAGAGAAAACACACTAGGATCATCACACATAGCTGGAAATGCCAGAAACAGTACTACTCCACACTAAAATGTTTCCAAGAAGACGTCCAAATTTCTTAGTACACCTAGGTCCTTCTAAATGATTAAGGATTAGTGCTACTTTCTTTATGAAAAATGCTGGAGTCGCTTTTTAAAACTCCAGTGAGCATCATTCTGAAAATGGGTGCTCACAATGAAATCACTATACATCAGGCTTATCTACATAGCTAAATTCTGAAGGCCAAGTTCACTCTTTCAAAACATTTGAATTTGATTAAAATATTGCATTACCAAGGAGGAATAACACACTATTTAGTTATGGGAGAAGCTGGGACGTATCAGCCCTTGCCTAACTGGCACTGATAGTATCACAGAGAGCTAAAACAGAAACTACACACACACGGCAAAGAACTTCATGGATAAAATAGGTTTATTTATCAAATTTGCCCAGGAAAAGTTACAGTGGCCCACAGTAATTTTATAACATTTTTGTCCTGCCAGAAAAAAAATCTGCCTTACCACTCCCAAAAATAATACCCCATCATTGGATTGTTTATACACTCTGACATTCAATTTAGATCTATTGAGAGCCTAATACACACTATACATGTGGCTAGACCCTGGGGAAACAATAGTCAACAAGACAGATACAATTTCTGTAATTCCTAGGTTAAAGGCCTAATAAGTAAGAGAGACAAGAAAATAGGCAAACACTGTCCCTGCCCAGTGTGTGGTATGTTCTGTGACGGTAGAAGTTCAGAGATATTACAAAAGCACACAGGGGACCTGAGGAGTAAAGACCATGTTTGTAAACAGCAGGTGGGAATTAGGGGCAGAGGATTCCAGAATGAAGAGAAAGCATGGACGAGGAAATTGCAAAACTTACAAAGTTGAAAGAAATTTAGTAAGGCTGGAGCTGAAGGAGAGAATGATTGAGTGTGAGGAGTGTGAGAATGTGTGTCATATCTGGAATGGGAGAATGAACGGGGTGGTAGACCGGTGGGAACAAAATAAAGAGCCTTGTAAGACAAGTTGAGAATTGATAACTTCATACTTAAGTCCATGGAAAGGCATTATACAGGTGAGCAGGGTGGCAGGGTGGCAGGGGGTTTCTGCTTTAACAGAGTTCCAGGCTGCTGGGGGGTAGGAGGTGAATGGTTTGGTAGAAGGTTGCATATGGCTTCACTAACAAAGTAGCTATGGGCCTGGGAAAATTCGCTAAAACCATCATGCACAAAAGTTAGAACAGAAGGCCCTTGGAGTGGAAGTGGGAAGTGTCTAGAACAGGCGTGTCCAATCCGCAACCCACAGGCCACATGCAACCCAAGCCAGCTAGTAATGCAGTCCCACAACATCTTTTAGCATCATATGTTTTTTGGTGTTAATTTTCTTCATAACGCCATGCATAGTTCCATTTTTGAAGTTCCAAAGCAATACTGTGCTTAAAACGAAACTTAAATTACAGCAAGCTCAAATTATGGAAAATAATTTAGCACGTTTTGTTACACTAGCTAAACTCAATCCTGTGAATGACCAAAAATACACAGCTCTGCGTTCAATCTTAACACAACAATTGAAAACAGATTTCAGATTTCTAGCAAAATAATTACTATTTTGCTACACCATTTTCAGTTGACATTAATATTTTACCTGCAAATTTTCAAATGGAATGCAAAGAGCTGCAATCAGATAGTCAATTGAAAGGAAAATTTAACCATATTTCTTTATTAGACTTTTAGAAGATCTTTCTTTCTAGAGAAAAATATCACTCACTACACAATCATGCCTTATTCATGACATCAATTTTTGGCAGCGCATACATTTGTGAGCAGCTGCGTTCAATTATGAAGCATATGAAGAGCAAAATTCGAACAAATATTTCTGATGAGCACCTTGAGAACTCACTAAGAATTACAACCATTTTCACTGAAAGGCATTGGTAGATTAGTTTTACAAAAACAAGGCAAATTTCTCACTAGCTTTATATTGTTCTCTTTTTCTAAACTTTATAATAAAAATACAAAAAAAGAAGTTTTATTATGTATACACACTAACTATATCTAATAACTTATGTGTGGCTCAAGGCAATTCCTCTATACTCAGTGTGGCCCAGGGAAGCCAAAAGGTTGAAAAGCCCTGGATAAGAGCCAAAACTAAACCCAAGTTCTGGGTGACCACTTGGAATACAAGAGGAGGCAGAGCTGAAGGTCTTGAGTTCTGGTTCTATATGACACAAAAACAAATCTAAGCCAGGCTCGGTGGCTCAGCCTGTAATCCCACGCCTTTGGGAGGCTGAGGTGAGTGGATTGCCTGAGCCCACAGGTTCAAGACCCGCCAGGGCAACTTGGTGAGACCTCATCTCTATAATAAATCAAAAAATTAGCCGGGTGTGGTAGCGCACACCTGGAGTTCCAGCTACTTGGAAGGCTGAGGTGGAAGGATTGCCAGAGCCCACCAGGTCAAGGTTGCAGTGGCCGGGAGCGGCCACTGCACTCCAGTCTGGGTGACAGAGTGAGACACCAACTCAAAAAAACAAAAAAACAAAAAACAAATCTACCAGTTTAGTATTCAGACCTGGAACTCCAGAAAAATATAGGTGCTAGAGCAAAAACTTGAAAATCATCAGCAATTAAGAGAGATTTACTAACAAGGAAATAAAGCAAACTCCCTAAGAACATGTATAGAAGAGAAAAAGAAGAGGCCTCAGGTAGATACCTGTGAACATTTATGAAAGCAGTACAGGAAGAGAGTCACACACACCACGTACGTACACACACACACACACACACACACACACACACACACCACACACACACACACACACACACACACAATTGCAAAATTTTTTAAGTGTATATTCAAAAAGAAAAAGAAAAAATAGACTAAAGAGGAAAGAACAGAAAATTCATAGACAAAGCTTCAGAACATCATGGAAGCCAAGAAATGTAAACAAAATGAGAACATTTCAAGAAGGAGTACATGGGATCAACATATTGTCAGACGTAGTCTTTGGTGAAGTAAAAATGAGGGCTGAAGGGTGTCTACTACTCAACATGGAAGTCACAACAGATCCTGATAGAAGCATTTCCTGAAGTGGTAGGAAGGAGAGTTGTGGCAGTGAGTTGTCCATAACAAAGTTCAGCAGTGAAGGGAAGGAGAAAAGACAAGAACAGGCAGAAGTCAATGTGTATTGAAGAGGATGTTCTAATCTGTGTTGGCATGGTTTTTCATTTGCTTATAGGATGAGGAAGACTTGGGGATCTTTAAAGTGTAGATGAAGAGAGAGCAGAACTGGAGAAAGTGATTTCACAACAGAGAAAGGAAAGCAGATGGGGAAGACTTTTGCAGAAAGGCAGGGATGGAATGAAAAGCTAGGGAGAAAGATTAGATAGAGAAGAATCTGTATATTTCCATTTTGACAGAGGAGAAGCTGCTAGTGTGAGCTTTTCCTTGAATTTCTCTCTATTCATATAGTTTTTATTCAAAATCAGATTACTTGCTCCTCCTAAACATCAGGTTACATCCCCCCATCTTCTCTTTTCACAAGGCAAATCTGTTCATCTCTTTTTTAGGTATTTTTTATAAAGTATCTTGGCATATCAGAACATTGTTTAAACACAATATTATATTTTTTCAGTGCAAATTATGTTCCATTTTGATTAGACAGTAATAAAATCTTCTCATCTATTAATTTTGTAGTAAATAACATTACCAACAAGCTCAATTACATATATGAGACAGAAAAGCATCCAAAATTTTATTAGTCAAATTACATCCCTGCCATTAACTCTGGTATAAAATAAGAGCAAGAGAAAGCTTTCGATCTATAATTATACCCTAATCTTAACAGTGTAGTTAACTTAGAAAATAGTAAGTCAGGTAAAACAAATGAGCTCTTAATGGCCTGGACAATTCCTATGCAGAGAAGATACCCTGTACAAGGGAAACATGGCTCTGTCTCCAGTTAGCTGTTATTAAATAAAACACTAAAGTAAAATGTGCTATAAATTATCATTCTGCTGAGGAAAAATCATTAGTTTGTTTCATTAATATGAAACTATATAATATACTATGTAAAAGATGAAACCAGTAAATTGTTGGAACCAAAATAAGATCTTTTAGAGACATTTTTAAAAATTAAAAAACAATATTGCACATATCAATCCACAGTCTATTGCTAAGAAATAGAGAACTAGGTAAAAGTCACTGTGACTTACCTTGGTGGGTCCATTTCCATTAATTGCCACTGGTAATGTTTCATAAAATGTATTCTTAGCTCTGGCTTTGCCATTTTCAAATTTTAAAACAACTTCATCTGGTTAATAAAAGAAAACAGCTTTTAATAATTTAAAATATGTCTATATTTGCATGTGTGTGTCTACATGTATGTGTGTGTGTGTGTCATTGTTACAAAATTTCTCATGAATATGATACTGCATGTGCTACAACACTTTTAGAAACTTCTCCTAATCATCAGATACTCAAAATGAAGGATGACACTGACACACATATGGATACCCATTCAAGTGTTCTTCACTCACTCTGACCTGGCATCAGCAAAATGAGAGGTGCTAAGCCACTAGACTGGTAGAAGAAAATCGCCTTTGCAACCCTGTCTCTGTCCCTTGATAGTAATGCCATTCTAACTGAGTTAAGTTAGTGTCTCAATTTATTCATCTGTAAAATGTGATCCATGCCTACCTTGCAGGGTTACTATCAAGATAACAACAATGTATGTATAATGAGTAGAACGCTGCCTGCCATAAAAGCAAGCTTGTTGTAATTGACCACCACTGATAATATTTCCAGTTCTTAAAAATCAAGTCGACTACAATAATACAGAGAAGACAACAAGAAGGAAGGAAAAGCAGGGTTTTGTTTATTTGGTTTTAGGTACCTTTCCTCACATGTCTTGAGCAATCCAAACTCATTCTGAAAATCTTTTTACTATGTGAACTGACTTGTAAAATTGTATTGAATTGTGATGCATTTTTAATTTTTTAAAGTATTAATGAATTAAGTTATTTTTATACTTAATGTATTGATTAATTAATTTTAATGTATTAATGTACTTTTATCAAGATATATGTATCTCTAGGAAAACATACCCGGGCACACATGCATATGCACCCATACAAGCGCATGCAAACACGCGCGTGCACACATACACACACAAACACAAACACATTCTTCCACGGTCTACCTGTCTAGTTGTCTTCAGCTACCTTTCAGCTGGGTCAAAGGGTCTACTCTCATACTCTGGAGTAATTCACAATACAAAGAAGTTATACTGAAAGATGTGCAATAATGAGGTATAATTAATTAATAAATATATCTAAAGTCCCCAGACGGTGAGACACTAAATTTTAAGATACCTAAAGCCAAAAGTTTATCTTTTTCATATTAGCGTTAAGAAACGATTTTAACCGGATGTACTGAGCTTATAAATCTAAGCTTCATATATAAGCAATCTTCTTTAAAGGTTACAATATCTATACTGTAAACCTTAGTCATGACCACCAAATGGACATAACAAAAAAAGTTAGCTGAAAACAGGTGTTCATGTGTAAACATGAGCAATTCAGTATTCAGAAAGCATACCTACGGCTCCATTTAAGGTCTGGAAAATTTTGCATTTATGATCCAATGTGATGTTGATAGCTTCCTAAAAAATAATAGAAATAATATTGAAAAAGCAAACAAAAAGTCCCAGCAAATACTGAAAATGCCAAACAAAAAAACAAAACAAAAACATCACTATCATGTTAATACAGTTTGTTCTTTTGGGAATTTAAAGTTTAAAATTCTTACATGTTAAGTGTCTAATCAAAATATTTAGATGACTGAAGTATTTGGGTAAGACATAGAAACAACAGAAACATAGAACAGAGCACCATATGTTCTCACTCATAAGCAGACCCTGAACATTTACCCTAATACTATATGAAAGGGATTGGTAGTAGCAGGATACTGCCAGAGTGAGGGATTGGGGAACACAACATCAATAGGGTACCTGATCTCAAACCAGGCAAAGTGGGGACCAAAGGGAGCCCCAACTTTACCTGCACAATGTCCACTTGTATAACTAATCCTGAATTGTATCTCACATCTTTAAAATAAATAATAAATACAATATAATACAATACAATAAATGAAAAAAACCAAATCAACAAGCAAAAAGACATAGAAACAGCTATAGTTGCAACTCACTGTAAAATACCCCAAAGAAAATTTTCTGTTTCCTAATGCCAGCATCCAAAAGTACACAATTCATGAAATGTTACAACTGTATTCAATATGTATAGTAAACTTATAAAATATTAACATGCATTAGGTAAATATATATTCTCAGATTAGAACATCTGCTTTTACTTTTCTCCAAAATTTCACTTAAATCAATTTCAGGAATGTTCTCTCTAAGGCCTATAACAGATTGCTTATTGTCCCTAAGCCCCAGTAACAGAACTCAGATTTTCAGTAGGACAAGTGTGCCTGAAATAAAAAACAAATTTTCCCTTGTATATTATGTGTGGCTACATAAATATGCTCTGGTCAAAGAAAATTACAAGAAAGTATTCTGTAAGACTTCTAGAAAGGCTACTTGAAGAGAGTTGAAGAAGTTGAGGTAGCCTGTTTTTTTTACTATTCTGCCTTTTAGCTGCCCAAAATATAAATGCAATGACTGGAACACTGATGGCCATTTTGGACAAGTTACATTATAAATGGGAGCTATGTGCTAATGCTAGAGCAACAAAGAGCTCTCTCTCTTGATACCCCGAAGCCAACATAACAGACTTGGGTTTTCTAATTTTTTTTTTTTTATGTGATAGTGGAAAAAAATACATAAGTAAAACATCTATCTTACTTAGGCCACTGCTATTTTCAGCTACTCTATTTGTGACAGTTGAACATATAAGTATTTTTACTAACAACAGGCTTAATACTGTGTCTATACCACAGTCCTGTGGATCTTCAGGCTCTAACCTCTTTGGGATTTCATTATTATCTCTTTAAATCTCCAGGCTTCATATTCTAACATATTCTTAATCCACAAACTGGCTACAAAGTCCCATAGGATCCATCAAAGGATCACACCCAGACTACTATATCCACAGGCTTGATCCACTCTGGACCACCAAACACTTGGACACTGACTAAAGCTTCTGGTCTCAATGTTTCCTCAGTACCCTCAATCTTCAGGCTCCAAAACTTATAAGGAGGTCTCTGTCTTCAGTGGTGTCACAGGTGAATGTAAAATTTTAAAATACCTTTTGAGTACCAATTCAAAATATCAAAAAGAGTGTTATTTCACAAATGTAAGCACATGAAGTCAATGTCACCATTATGTGAAATAGTAGAAAATCCTCATTTGGGTTCTCGGGGAACCTAGGATCCAATCCTTACAGTGACACGAACTAACTATGTGGCCTCAGTTTCTTAATTGGGAAAGTGTGGATTAGAGTCTAGCCTCTTACCTGTCTAGGATCAAAAAAGCTCACCGAGACACAAAGGGCTTTGTAAGGCTAAAAGTACTACAAATGAGAATACTTTTTTTTAATTGCAAAATACACTGGTATCAAATAGCTGTTAGAATAGTTTTTGTGAGAAAACATCATTATAGCCATAAGATAGAGTGAGTGCAAGAGCACACATTTCTTATGCTTTTATATAATAAAAATAAATGTGTTAATAAATGACAGCTATCTGTTCAATAATTTGACAGAAGCCATTCTGTAGTCATTGAGACTTCATTATTGTCTCTTTAGATCTCCAAGCTCAAAAGTTTTTATGATATAACTTATTCTGCTTTGATAGGGCAGCCTTGGGAGTGAGTATGCAGTGAAGATAGACTGTAACACTGGTGTGAGGGCTGTCATTTCATTTTGGTATCAAGGCATTTTAATATGTGTTTCAATATAACTGTAGAGAAATAGCTGGGCCTTGATTCCTTACTCTGCCCTTCTGCCTGATCCACCAAGTTTCACAGGTTGCTGACCAAGAGGAGCCATAAAGACACATTAAGCTAGTGCTAACACCCAGACAGGAGAGAGAAACCAATCTCAACTATTTACTACTTGTTTTACGGACTCATATTATTTAAAATATGCTATCAACTGACTCATATTATTTAAAATATGCTATCAACAAGAACACTTTAAAATTCAGTTTTCCAGTCGCCATGTTACCAATAAAACCTTTTGTTTATGACCACTCTATATTAACAAAATATGGCAAATGAAGCAACCAAAACAATAAAAAAAAAAAAAAGCAAGCTGCCACACACCCTTTTTAGTGGATCAATGTAAATTTTAGTGTAAAAGAGCTGGTCATCATCATTATCCTGGAGATTCCATTGTTGAACTATACGATTGATATACGGAGCATAACCAATAAATCCTGCAACACAGCAGAGAGAGAATAGAGAATTTAGGATTCAAAGAACAAACTGGTGTCTATATTAATTCCACTGATCAGTTGCACAGAAAGTCATGAAGCCAAGAGGCCTAATCTTTGGGTTAGAATTTCACAGCTCACCATGAAAGAAATATGAATTACTGAATGCCCCTTATTTTATATATAAACTATAATACAGTGAGCGTTGCTATCAACTACAAAACAGAAAATAACCAGACTCTTTTTAAATAAACACATCCCCAAAATTAACTGACACAAGACGGAGAACTGATGTTTTCCAGGGCTCCTAAAGAAAAAAGTTTCCCTAACTTTTTCTAAGTTACTCGAAAAAGAATAGAATAAGACAAGAATTTTTTCTCTGACCTTCTAAAAATCTCTTCTTGATCTTCTACAAAGAACTCACTGTTTCTGATAGAAGAGAGTCTCTACTACAATGGTTTACTTCCAGTGCTTGAAATACTAATGCTATCAAAGGAATGCTGGCTTTGTCACTGACTGCAAACATCCTGAAGAAATTTTATACTTAGGACATTTTGGGAATTTTTCCATTACTTGGGTCAGTCATTATTGTGCCTGCTAAACCATTTTCTGACTAGGTTTGTGTGTCATAGTCTGGAAAAAGGAAGTCTAAAATTGGATTTGTTCCCCTTGGCTTTAGAGCATAAGCATTAAATCAGCCAATAACATTTGTCTATTAAGGACACAAACAGAATCACTTTTCCTGTCTGAATCTTCCTCTGAATAACAGAAATGCAGCCAAGCTGCTCTGTTTCGTTGTCATACAACACTTTTAAAAAGGGACCAATGTTACCCCTGCGAATTGAAAGGAAACCTAATTTTTACCCTCAAAATTAAATTTTTCTTATAGGAATAAAAAAAGTAAAAGAAATAGATCCAGGAAAAATTACTGTTACCTAGAGAAAAATAAGACAAAAATGAAAACATGATAAAAACAAATCACTAGTTGCTCATTTATGGTTATTCTTGCCAAATAAAAAAATCCTAGAACATCAAAAGATAATACATTTTTTATTTCCTATGATCAATCTTCTGTGATGAAAAATACACGAAGTATTAGCATATAACATTTTCCAGTGGTTTATATTAGTGTTCTTCAAAAAAATTGTTTCCTTATCCTTTTGTAAATCCTAAATGTCCCAAATAAACTTAAAAATTACATCTATTTTCACAGTATATAATACAAATGATTTCTAATTTTCTATTAAAATTATTTTTAAAAACTAAATGATATACACAAACATAACTCATGTCCTCTAAATAACTCTCATATCATCCATGAAATCATACAAGTTTTACTGAATATATTTATATTTTCTACCATCTAATTATTTTGACTATAGAAAGCTTAATGATGTCCTTATATGATCACTTTCCCACTGATAAATACCTTTTCCTTAATTAAATTGGCTCACAACTGTACTTATTTGCTAATTTTTTTTGTTTGTTCTTTCCACAGCACTGTGAGTCTGAAATTTAGCCACCTGAGTAGATATATCAATATATAAATAAATTCACATATGAGATTTCACTGTGCATGTCATCTTCAGAAAAATGTTAATAAATATACAGTAAAACATATTCCATAGTTCCATAGCTAAATACTTCCTTTAGAAAATTAGTTTTCCAACTATGGAGGACTTAGAATAAGTTGAAAGATTAGCCATGTGTTACTAAGGGCTTGGCAGTTAGCAGGCCACGATGTGGAAGCAGCACAAACCCGAGTTGTGCTTGCAGAGTGTGCAAGCAGAGAAGAGAGAGTGGGTAGCTGTCCTAAGGAGGACATTGACAGTCATGAACTGGAAATCCAGAGGCAAGGATGCTAAGGCACTGAAGACAGAGTGGCCAACATGACATACCCTAGGTTCCGACATGAATATGGAAGTAAAATCCAACCATCGTAAATAGATTGGGAGAAAATAAAATATTCAAGAGGTCCCAAAAAGCACAAACTCTGGGTGTATCGAGATGAAGAGAAAAGGGGATTTGAAATGAAGTAGTGTAAGTTGGAATTTAAGGTTTCAAAAATACAATATCTGTATGAGCTGAAAAAGTTTTAAGGTACAACTATGGGAATGGGTTGCTAAAATAAAATGCAGATGAAAAGAGCTGGAATTGAGGAATAAATGGTGGCTCAGTCTGTAATTCCGCGTCTTTGGGAGGCTGAGGTGAGTGGATTGCCTGAGCCTGCGGGTTCGAGACCCGCCTGGGCAACTTGGCGAGACCTCATCTCTACAATAAATCAAAAATGAGCCGGGCGTGGTAGCGTGTGCCTCTAGTTCCAGCTACTTGGAAGGATGAAGTGGAAGGATCACTGGAGCCCAGCAGTTCGAGGTTGCGGTGGCCAGGAGCGGCTACTGCACTCTAGTCTGGGCGACAGAGTGAGACTCCAACTCAAAAAAAAAAGAGAAATTACTTGCTAAAGGAGTCACTGCCATTAGTGGCTGAGCAAAAGCCAGATACAAGCAGCACTTATTTTAACTATCCTGAATAGTATTATAGACATGTAGAACGTCCAAGAAATCCATTTTCCCAGAGTGGCTTGTAATTTGTACCCAATCTGTTTCTCCAGCATGTCCTTCATCCTATTCAGTTATGTCTTCTGGTTATATGTTTACATTAATCTTAATCTAAGGAAAACAAATCTGTAGTCATAATAATGCCCAAAACCAATTTTTTTATTTTTTAAAGGGCAGAGTGAGAGATGTGATAATTTGTTCCTTTAATTCATGGTAGCACAGCTAATGCCACCCTTTAAGTATAACCAGAGACTCAGTGTTGAATCTTTTTGGCTACTAATTTCAAGAAAAATCACTTATTTACTCCAATAATATTCAAAAACATAAAATTAAGCAATGCTTATTTTTAAAAGTTTCTTGATTACAGACTAAGAATAAGCTTTTCCCAAGTAAGGAAACTTACTAAAACAAATATCCTATAGCTAGAAAATTCTCAAAGAACTGTTGTTAGAAGACCTGGATTCATACTGCTTTTCCTTTAACAAAAGAATGTCTTTAGGAGAAGTCACTTAAATTTGAGGAACATAAGTTTCCTCACTGATAATGTGAAAATAATAACACTGACATTGCCTTATGTTGTTAGGAGCATCAAATGACATAAAATATGGGGAAATGCTTTGTCAATATAGGAATAAGATGATGGCTATTTGAAACTTTAGATCTAAAGTTACTACATACAACAGAAAAGATTGTTTTAAATATTTATAATTCAATATGTTTTAAACTTTTATGCCAGCATCTTACTCACCTCCTGAATTCAGGTAGCGTTTCCCAATGTGCACAATGGGATACTTGTCTGCTAGTCTTTTATCTGGCCATAGAATTCCATCTGCTGCAAAGACCACTTTGTGGTTTGCCTTTTGGAACTTTTTTAGAACTTCTTCTGGGCCACCAGCAAATATGACATCAAAGCTGTTTAATGAGAGAAAAAAGAAGTTTTAAGATACACTTGTCAGAATTGAGGCATATAAACCAATAAAAAAATCTCTAACAAAAGTCAGAATTTAGAATTCTACACAAGATTAATACCTGTACCATCCATTTACAGAGTACATCAAACAATTTTCCTGCAACTTAAATTATACGGATTGTATTGAATTATTAGTATTTGCATGATATTAGCAAACATTTCATTTACAGAAGATGCCACAACTGCCTAACAAATCAATTCAATTTGTACCAATTTATTACAATTTCTGAAGAATTCATTATATTTGATAAAATGTGTTTAGCTTCTAAATTGCATCAATATACATTAATATTTGAGTCACTACTTACCTCAAAATCTTAAAACTCAAGCTCAATAAATTTAAGGGGAAATTATGCAAACTTGACACTATAATGTCTACAGTTTCACTGGCTTTTCTGAAGACTTTATTCCTCATAGTTCATTCACAGAATCACAATGGCTTAACAAAATGTGAAGTTTAAAAGTCACTATTTAAAATGTTTCCGTTCTGAAATAATTTCTCTATTCTTACAACTCTTTTTTTTTTTTTTTTAATCAGTGTACCTCAAGGTCAAAGATTTCCAAAGATGCTATTTTAATGACTTAATATCCCAGGTAGCAAAATAAGAGCAAACTAATGCTCCTGAATTCAGTAGCAGGTCTTTCTAATAGCCAGTACTCTGCATGCACTGCCAGAACATCTGACTAGGGGAGTACAGAGGCCACTCCAAGTTCCTTTTCCTGCTAGGCTCACGCTCACTAGTTCATAATCTATGATAGCAGCTATGCATCAGGCAAGGTTTATTACCTTTCTATATACAATGTATTTTATTAAAATAAAACAGTATGCTCGTGTCTTATAGTAAAAATTCAACAAAACTTTAAAAAATTACTTCAGCACTGTAAACTTATACTCACTATCTGGACTTGTGGCAGGGATGTTAACTAATCCCCAGATATATCCCCATGTCTTTATTTTAATAATGGAAACTCCCAGTGCTAGCTGGGCACAGGGGTATGCCGCTTAGAAACTATTCTGGAGCTAGAAGAGGCCTCATGACTACTTCTCACTGACTATAAGTAGAGCTAGTGTAAACTTCAGGTCCTGTCCTTTAAAAAAGGTGCCAGCTGGGCTTGATGGCTCAGTCTGTAATCCCAGCACTTTCGGAGGCCGGTGAGTGGACTGCCTGAGTCTGCGGGTTCGAGACCCACGCAGGCAACTTGGCGAGACCTCATCTCTACAATTAAAAAAAAAAAAAAAAACAGCCAGGCGTGGTAGCACGCACTTGTAGTTCCAGCTACTTGGAAGGCTGAGGCGGAAGGATCGCCGGAGCCCAGTAGGTCGAGGCTGCGGTGGCCAGGAGCAGCCACTGCACTCTAGCCTGGGCGACAGAGTGAGACTCCAACTCCCCCCCCCCACAAAAAAGGGAGTTGCCTACTCTTTCTGTTTCCTTTATCTTTCCCCTTCAAGGTAAACCATGGCATCCAAGTGAAAAATACTTGATGTATGCACTCTCACCATAGTCTAACTCTGAAGCTTAAAGTTATTGAAATCCTGAGAATGTGCAAGTAAATTGTGTAATTATGCTTAACTAATTTTTTTAATCAAGGTAAAAATAGGGTTGGGAGCAGAGAGAGAGTGTATTTCTTTTTATTTTAAATTGTTCTAGAGGATTACAATTTGGTCATTTGTTTTACTTTCAGTTATAAAAAAATTTCAAAACTAAAATATATCTATAAATCTACAAATCTATATAGATCTATCTATTGATCTATATAAATATATATAGATACATAATACATACCTACATATAGGTATATAACTGATGTTTTTTTCTTCTAGGATCAAAACCCAAGAAACTGTTAACATTATTAATAGCATAATCATAAAGTCACTCACAGCATACAATCTGAAGTCTGCTTATTGGGTTTCTAATCCCAGCTCTGCCACCTGCTATCAGAGTAACCTTAGGACAAGTTACTTAACTTCTTTATGCTTCAGTTTCTTTATTTATAAAATGGAGGTAAAAGTAGTATCTATCTCCTTAGGTTATGATTTTTAAAAAAAGAAAAAATTTAACAATACCTGACATATTGTAAGCACTCAACAAAGTTAAAAAAAAAAAATTAAGGTTAATATTAACCAGAGGACAGGAATGGAAAGAGGAAAGTTCACTTCTAAGTTTTTACCAAACACATGTATTTTTGAAAATGAACTTTAAATCAGAATAAAACTGTTCTGACTCAAGCCTCAAACTAACTTTTTCCTGTTTATTAAAAAAAAAAACTGAATTAATCTGACTTCACAAAACACAACACTGTACTTTTTTTCTGTTAAGTATAACTGATTTCTTCAGCCCTACTTTTATAACATTGGCACTTTCCTCAAGCCTACTAGTTGTTGATTTTTTTAAATATTGAAGATTAGGAAATAAGACCAGCTTTATGAGTAATTGGGCCATGAGAGGCAAGGCAAGTAAACCAAACCCTCTGAGACAGAGACGGCCATGTGAGTTCCAGAGGAGCCCCAACATACTGTCTAAAGATGGGAAATGTAGCTTATAATGTCAATGAATCAAGACTTAGGCCAAAATAATTCAAAAATTTTCCAGGTAGTGTCACATAGTCAAAATTTATAAATGTTACTTTTGGAAAGTGAATGTTTTTTGTATTCGAAACCCTAGTGATGGATACAGATGTACACACAGTATATCTCATACTATTAATAAAAGTCAGCAGCTTGAAAAGGAGGAATTGTGGCCATTTTTGCTTTTATAATTTAGTATTTTAAAAGCATGCATTACTTTTATAACAAAACAATTATTTTAAGGCAAAAGTCAAGGCAAAGGTTATCTATATCTAATTCAAATGAGAATTTGACTCAAAAAAATTTAAGGTTGCTGAAACTTTTCCCATTTCATTCTAGTAGCATTGCTATTTTCATCTTAAATACTTTAGAAATATTCTTTAAACTTATTTAAACTTCTCAAAGGTCAAGAAATATTTTCTATTTAAAATTATTTTGGCTATAAAAACTCAAATTGTCAGTGTTTTTAAAAGAATGCACAAAGATCATAAAAATAACTCTCATAGGAATTTAGTTCATTTAAATACAAGAATAAAATAAGACTTTCCACATTTAACTGTGGTAAATATGCATGGGTTCTGCAAAAACTGTAAGAACCCTCCTCCTGTGTTCTACGGGGTTCTTTACCAGACATGTCAGCGTCCTATGACCAACAGATCACAGAGATTTTTATACACAGATCCCTCTGTGTTCCTTCTTTTGGTGACATCATTAACCACACAGTCACCCAGGCTATGGCTTTCATTCCTTTTCCATGGCTTCTCTCATCAAATCTTTTACCTAATTCTACTGATCCCATCTACTTAATCTATTTTGCATTCATGCCTTCCCTGCTCCTGCTAGAAAGCACCAGTGTAGACCAATTAAAAGACCCTACAGGCTTCCACATTACCCATCTCCTACCTACTTATTATAGGGACTGTCTGACAAACGCTCCTAAAAACTATTCTGTGCCAGTTCCCAGACTGGAATAGTAGTTCTCAACTGTGGCTTAAGGCAGAAGTCAGCAAATATTTATTCTCTGACCTTTTACAGAAAATATTTTGGACTTTGATCATATGGTCCCTGTCGCAAAGACTGAATTCAGTCATTGTGATACAAAAACAGCCATAGACAATATGTAAACAAATGAGCATAGCTGTGTTTCAATAAAATGTTTTATAAAAACACACAGCAGGGTGGGCCACAGCTTACCAATCATTGGCCTATAGAATGAAGTCTAAATGAATCATCTTCCTATTAATAACCTTCCATTAAATAACTTATATTCTGAAGCCAAAATGAATTATTTGATCTTACAAGTATGCCTTTACTCATGATGAAGCCTCTGCTTAGCACAGCTTTTCTCAGTGGGGCCCAAACCATTCACCTTCAAGGCCCATTACATATGCCACCTCCTCTACACACCTCTCTTCGATCAGCATAATTAGAAAAGATTATTTCCCTTCTCTTAACTCCCACAGCTCTTTTCCTCTCCCTTTTCACTAAATGTTTTATTTTCTGCTCTTCGTGTTACTAGACTGCATATCACTCCTTCATATGCAAAATGCATATCTGTAACTGCATATTTCCTTAGCTTTGTGTTTTCAGGACAGTCAATAAATATTTGTTGAGCAAATGAGTTAATCAATGAGTGAATAATAATTGATTCCAAGTCTCAACAAGAAGTAAGAGCTCCTGGTAGCCATAAAAGAAAGCAACAGAAGTGTTCCCTAATGTTATGTTATTCCTCTCCAATCCAATACTTTCTTCATCATCACTGGCTTACATTCCCACAAAAATTATAATCATCCAAACTATTAGCAGCTAATGTCTAAAAGCTTAATACAATCTTGTGAAACTAAAGTACAGAAGTAGCTCCATACCTAATAATTCTGTCTTTCATCACATCTTCACCTCAAATATGTCTATATTTCCAGAGATAATTAACACCACAATTCAATATTGTGAAACCACTCCTAACCACCCCCCTAAAACACACACACACAAAATTGAAAATGCCCACCCATCCAGTTGACCTTGCACAATAAATCATAATAAAATCACAACATAAATGATTAAACTTAGTTTAGGAATTTTGGAGAGAGGAAAAGAGAGTTGGCTGGTATGAAGTGGGTACTATTTTAAAAGCTAAATATTGAACAATCCTTTCACCTCTGGAACAAATCCCATTTGATCATAGTTTTTACTATATTAAAGGAATACTTGAACCCCCATGTTTATTGCAGCACTATGCATAATAGAAAGGATATGGAATCAACCTAAGTGTCCATCAATGGATGAACAGATAAACCAAATGTGGTATACATACACAATAATACTATTTGCCATAAAGAAGAATAAAATACTATCATTTGCAGCAACATGAATGGGACT